ATCATCCAGGCTGTGTACTTTCGAAAAAATCAAAGTAGTATTATAACCTGGGAGATTTATTGGCAAGCAATTATAGACTAAAATATTTATGACGAGTTTTCGCTGTTTTGGCCATAAACATAATGTTGAATTAGGCAGACATACAAACATACAGTTTGATCAATAAATTTGTAGTTTTTGTAGTGATACGTTTGAATTTAGCATGGTAGAGAAGGAAATTCAATTTGTTTTTATATGTCCATTATACAATGATCTAAGGGCTGATCCTTTGTCAATAACCCTATGCAATTATGCAAATACTGACAATCTAGGCTTACTTCGTCGCTACACAAACTGCCACACCATATATCTACTAGCTCTGTGTCTTTTAAAAGTTTTCAAGCGACGAGATAAATATGAATCTAGCTTAACTTAGTATCATATGTTTACATGGATTTGTATTGTTTTTATGTGCGCTAACATCTGCGAAGAGCGAAAAACCTCGTGAGTAGCATTCAACCTTAAAATGATTAGACAATAATGCTAAGATACGTACAGTCTTGTCTTTTTTGTGTACAACATTTTGCCGTGGTGGATCAAGGGTGTGGGTGTGTTTGTCTGTGGGTGGGGAATGGCTCAGGATCCCTTCTCTAAAATGGTAAAATAGTTCAAAGATCTTATGTGAAATAACTTACCAACGTAACACAAAGTAAACCAATTGAATTTAAAACTGAGAATATAAAAATGTCTGTAACAGAGCTCACTTTTTGAATATTATAAAATTCACACGTTTCACATCAATTATATTATTGTTGTTTCGAACCCCCTATTCAAAAGTTCTGGCTACGGGCCTGGAAGTAGCATTTAAAGAAGGAAAACGTACAAGATTTATTAACGGTGAACTATTTATTGAAGGTAAACAATATACGGCTAACACTGATGTAGACAATACTTGATTCGAATAGAGTTGTTTCTGCTGCCAATGAAAGTAACAGTGTCTGCTAAAGATCATGAGTGCTGGAAAAAGCTTAAGTTATACTGTATTGATGATATTCACAGACCGGAAATAGCTCAGCCATAAGTTAGTATAGGTATATGTTTTCTCTTTACCGCTGTTTGATATTTTTGCTGTCATGGAAATTGCCTATTGGATATTATCTTAAAGGGCAGACACCACTTGATGTGGCTATGCTACAATATTGGGAATAATTAAGCTATATAAATACATAATTTGTGTTGTATCTCTCGGGTGGGGACACGAGCATGCTCATCCAAACGTTCATCTGCTTGGATGCCTAGATTTTTGTATTGTTTGTTTGTGCAATACTGGTATATTGTTAGCCATATGCATTTTTGTTGGCACGTGCAACATACGTACTTTTCTGTTGTCTGTTTGGTCCTCCTTTTTTTGTTTTTCCTTTCTCGTTGCTTTTGTCACCTGCTTTTTCGATCTCTCAATTTTTTTATGTATGATCTGGTATACTATTAACCAATCTCTCAACTAGATTACTCTCACTTAATGTGAGAGGTATTGGAAGCAATATAAAGAGAACCAAATTATTTACATGGTTGAAACGCAAAAAATCCGACATTATTATGCTGCAAAGACTTATAGTTCTCAAGATGTTGAAGAGCAGTGGACAAAACAATGAAATGGCAAAATATTTTTCCCACATGGTACTAATCACAGAAGGGGTGTATGTATTTTGTGTAGACAATTAGTCAATATTACAATTCACGATAACATCAATGATGATGAGGGGAGATTTGTGTATCTGGATGTCACCATCCAAAATTTATGAATGGTATTGGGAAGCATCTACGCACCCAGTATCTCAAGCGAACAACTCCTGTTTTATGATTTGTGGTGCTCTAGTTTTAATAACCTGTTAGGTGAGGGTACACAATTAATTTTGGGAGGAGATTTTAATATATGCCTTAACCCTACACCGGATAAACAAGAAGGGAATCTAAAATACAAAAAACGATTAATAGATAAAGTGAATGATAAACTGTCCAATTTTGATCTAGTGGACATTTGGCAGATAAAACAATCCTAGGCAGCAAACGCTTCATATGGATACAAAATCTCATGTTATACAATGCCGTCTTGATTATTGGTTCATTTCTGTTACCCTACAAGATCTTGTGAAGTCAGTAGAAATCAAACCATCCATCTGCTCAGATCACTCCGCTATTACTCTATGTATTCAAAGTGAATCATGGGACAGACATGGTCAGTCATACTGGAAAATTAATAATTCCTTGTGTAAAGATTATGTCCTAAAGCTATCAAATCAA